TGACCATTACATTTCTGCTCTTATTTACGTTATTTCAAGAGCCCACGATCACTTCAGTGATCCTCCAGGCAGCGCGTTTGAGACTGATTAGCATTGTTTGTTTACAAGCTTCTACTTAAATATATATATAACAGGTGCGCAAAAGCTAAAGATGATCACCTGTTGGTATCAACATATCTACCTGTTCCGATAACTCCTTCAAGTTTAATGTCTCTTCTTTTTCTTTCAGTCGTGAATGATGTCAAAAGTTCTTGCAAGTCGATGTAGTCGTTAGGGTCGATATAGGTTCGCTGGTCTCGGGGATTCGGGGTTTGAAGTTCACTTCCTAAGGAAATAAAGTTTCAGGAACTATTAAATTACATCACACCTTTAAATTTAACATCTCAGATAGGTATTCAAGATAAGAAAGTAATGTCATTTCTATGCATGAAGGGCCAACACTGCCAAAAAGTGTCTGGTTTGAATATTACCTTTGGTTAGATCATAACTGCTCAGCTCCATTTATATAAGTAGCTCCGACAGAGTAGTAGTAGCGAGAGAGAAGAGAGCAGAATCGTATATTTATTTACAATCACTTAGCTGATTATGAACATGCATATACGGTTGGGCGTCTGACGTTAATCATATCAATAGAAAATGTACAAACTCTGTAAATCACATGGCCATTAATATTAAAATGATAATTCTCCGAAACAACAAAAATATTTCACAAGATTATTATTGGTAATAATTGATGAAAATGTTTTAGTTGTAATGATGTAAATTTACTTATCGTTCAAACCTGATCGAAGAGACAGGTTTATGATCGTATTTTATTTTGTTCACAGCCGCACACTTAACTCGCTGTCTATTAGGTGATAAATAGTGAATAACTAAACCAATCAGACTGCAGATTTCGTGATATAACGCTAGCAATACTAGTCTTACCTTGCTGAAGGGCCTCCATGTAGGTTTGCTCTGCACTCTTTTTACTTCTCCTAGTTAAACACAAATAAATGTATCATCTTTCTTTGGATAAAAAGATGCAGTTTCGCTCCCATTTGACTCAAATCAAGACCTGATGTTAACGTTGATTTAAAAAATTCCTCACGTTCGCCCAAAGGCTCACCTTCTACGTGACACGACAAAGACAACAATGGCCACTACCAGTATAATAAGTAGCAGTGCTCCTCCTCCTCCAGCTGTGTAAACAATCAGCCGTTTTTTCTTCAAGTTATCTGCAACACGACAGTAATTACTCAACATTTCAAACAGGAAATTTCCTGAGCAACCAAAAAAAAAAAAATTTATCCGCATGTCTAATCTTTTTCCTGGTCCGATAGACACAGCGGCAAGTTGAGTGCGCATGCTTGGCAGATTTGGCGCATTCGAGAAGAGCTTTGGGGTTCCAGCGTGAATGAATTTCGTTTGGTAACGAGCGTAACATCGTTTTATACTCTTTTTCCCAGGGCTGTCATTGATGTGGACCAAGTGGACAATGTAATGTAGGGTAAGTAGCGTTCTTTTACTCATAGTTGATCCTAAGCTGTTTTAAATTTATGCAGACAGCTAAAGCGACAGTAGTCGCTACGAACTTCAACTCGTAGCGATCATGTTACGGATGCTTTACTTTATTGCCTAAATTTACATCTGTTTCTGCAACACTTTTCGTTGAGCGAGATGTCTAATGGAGGAGGTTCGAAAAATTTCCTAATAACAGCAACCTTATCTGTTTCGGTTTGAACTTATCCTCGCAAAATGAAAACAGATATCGGGAATTTAAAAAGGCCGCCATTTTGACGCAATAGTGTTACTATTTTCTTTACAAGCATGTGCACTCATGTTGCCTCTGAGTAGGCCTGAAAAACTCTATTGGTCAACGACTCTATCTCACCGATATAAATTGCTAATTTTTTTTAACCTAATAACAGCAACCTTATCTGTTTCGGTTTGAACTTATCCTCGCAAAATGAAAACAGTTACTATTTTCTTTACAAGCATGTGCACTCATGTTGCCTCTGAGTAGGCCTGAAAAACTCTATTGGTCAACGACTCTATCTCACCGATATAAATTGCTAATTTTTTTTAACCTGGTATACCTTCGCATTTTCCTACTGCATTTTCCATCCCCTCCGGGCATATACAACTTCCATTAAGTGAACTGATGTTCCAGACCCCATCGCTCTGACAATCCAGGCTTAGAGTGCCTTGCTTGTTAAGGGCATCAGTAACACAACCAACTTCAACTGACTTTGAGTTGTTTGCTGGAGCTATTGTTTGTGGTAGGGAAACCAAGCTACTAACTTGAGTCGATCTTGGGCAGACGTAATAACTAACAGTGACGGAGTAAAGAGCACTACATGAACCCTGGTCATGAAATGCCAAAACGATGTACTTTCTTTTAACTTCTACACGAAACTTTTGAGACACTCTGATGCCAAGAGCTGACGGAGCTGTTTTCGCAATCTTGTCATAACTAGCATTGTTTGTTAGAGGGTCGAGTTCCGCTGGTTGCCAGGACTGATGTTCGTATAAGTGGAAATAATTTGTGCAATAATTCCCTCCTTTGGTCAAAAGTGACGAACAGTTTCTTGTTCGGTACTGGATGGTAACAAAGACTGTTTTCACCCCACTGTGGACTTCGATGGGATCAGTTCTAAGCCAGTTGTTTGGTTGTGGAAATGCGTCCAGAAAAACATCACACGTTGAGTAAGGTGTCTGCATTGTCCACTATTAGAAATAACCAATTTAAATCATTAAATCGTGAAGTGGTTTAAATATGAGCTTAATTAGCTCGATCTCCTTTAAAAAGCCATTTTTCAATGACTGAGTCCAATTTCAATTAAGTAGAACTAATTTAGTAGGAGTTCCGGTTGTGAGCATTGTTGAATTTTACTCTTGGGTTCACACCATTCGCTGAATGATTAGAAGCAAAAACTTTCTTTCGTGTTTGTATGCGTAGTCCAGAAAATTCAAATTTATCTGCATTAATGCGGAGGACAGTATTTTAAAGAACCAAATGACCAGATTTAAAGAATGTTTGACTTCTTTCGCTCGCAAATTCAAGTGAAAAAAAAACCTAGGATGTTTTAGAATTACACATGTCAGTAGCTAAAAGTTTCAATGATTCATATCTGTTTTCACCGTTTGCGTCTTTTTTCCTTTGAAATATTGCTTACTAAGAAGTAATTTTTAATGTGTTAAACTATTCAAAATTTGTTGCAAAAAGTTCCTGTGGAGGTGGAATGAGGAATGCCCTTTTGTTTTTCAGGGGCAGTGCAGGGGTATTACAAGTACTATCGTATTTGGCAGCTAACCACTACTCATTCACGTTCGAGTTCGAGGGACTTTGGAAACTTTATTGTCTGATAACAAGAGCGCTAACGTTTTGCCCAGTTGATCACGCTTTGTCCTACCAAATTATTTTAGAGTAAAAGTCAATTTGATCCTCTGGTAACGGTTTACTTATGTAAACGTTTGGATAATGAGCGTATTCTTGACATTAATTCATTCTCATTGATAGGCTCAATTCGTTGCAAACAAGGAAGAGCCGGAGAGAAAAACAATGGATGAAAATGAAAACTTTTATTGGCCAGAGCATGATGCCGAGAACTTTGTTTTGAATTTAAAATCGAAAAAGAAAAGCAGATAAAGGATTTGAAATTAACATGTTTACGATATGAAGGAACAGGATTTTAAATTCCTGTCTATTTATCTAAATCTTCATTTACTCATAAAAGACAGATCAGCAATGTAAGCAATGAGTAGAGAACATTTTGCAAGCTACAAGTTCCCGAGCAAACTGCCCTGGAAATCTGTCTGACTATCATTTCTGGCGTTCAAAACGTAGTAACTTTTTAACCTCATGAGAAGCAGTAACAAAATACTTTTAAACAAACGTCTGAGATGCAACTAATCACCTCAATTTTTGCGGTGGGACGGCTTACAAAACAGTCGAAATATAAGATCTTACCCCATAACCAGTTGCCGTTGCTGGCCTCGATAGAACCCAAATCCAAGGTTTACCTGGCGTTGGCTGCTTTTCTAAAATACCTTTAGATAATAAAAGTCATCAGGTCAATAATGCACCTTTGAAAAGTGCTTTATACTACAAAACTCCATGTCAACTATAATTGGCTCATATCCAAAAAGGGTTCAATTAGTGAGATGAAAAATGTAAAGTAACAAGTTGTACTCGACTCGACCTGTCTGTCCTATATTATTTTGTCGACGAATTTCGTAATGCACATTTATTTAATGACCCAAAGTAGATCGTTTTTCCATTCTCGCTTAGGACTCGTACATCATCTTTGACTTAAAAACTTATATAGAAATAAACTGTACGCAAATATCAACTAAGAAAATATTGCAACATTACTTCATACCTTCATCGGCCGATGATAATATTAAAATACGCAGGAGGGTAACGATTGTAACTAAGCTGTAATGCATGTCCGATTGCACCTTGAGCCACAGAGGAAAAAAAAAAGTACAGGNCTACCTAGAGCATAAGCTGGGGGAGAAGCCGATGGAGCCATTGTGATGAGTTCGGTATCACAGCGGTAGTCGAACTCTCAGCGAAACTGAGATAGACAAAATGAAAGTTGTACAACGAAACACAATGGGAGAGATCGTTTTTTCCCCTAAATCATGCGTCAAAGAATGCCACAAGCAAATCTACTCTGAACCCATTAATGATGATAAAGGCTCTCATTACATCAACTTTTGAATAGAATATTAGTCATAACTGCCTCGATGGTGTCTTCTATACATTTACTAACGCTCACTAGTTTTAATTTCTCTTTAAGTCTGATCTCTTAAAATGTTCTCAATGGCGACGGCGACATTCTAAGGTGTCATTACATTGATGGCCGGCTGACTCTATCACAGACTTTTCTACTCTTTCCTTTAGATACCTTCTTTTGTATCGCACGGTAGTCTAATCATGTTCATTGGAATTCAGTATGTTGCAAAGAGGACCGAAATTGGCGCTTCTTTTGTAAGAAGGAAGTTGGTTTATACTGTACGTTGAGGCCGTGCATAATACTGTTACGAATTATACCTATTGGCCAAACGTTATTGCAAGTAGAGTGCGTACTAACGATTTACAACTTGAATACCTCTTTATACTCGTTGAATTGATTATTTACAACAGGATAGTGACCGTGAATAAACCCTAGCTAAAGGGGCCAGATGAAGAAAGGACACTTTCTTAGGCTTTCAGATCTGAAATCAATCTTCACACTAATCCTTGCCTATCTTAACCCACCTTTAAACAACCTGGCACTGTCCATTACAAGATTAATTTTAGATATATGACAACATTCGTTCGTCATAGGGTAGTAATTTCCTCCTGCTTACTGATCACCAGCTCAGTTACAAGCAGAAAAGGTTCCCGAAATTGCATTTTCTTGATTTCATCAGGGCATCTAATCTGTATCCATGCCCTTGTTGTAACGTTGTGATTTCATAGCATTGATACTCTTTTGCATTTTATTTCGATGCCCAATCAAGCTGATACCATTCCTCTCAGTTGTTTGCCATTCAGTTCAGTAACATTGTCCATATCATCAATTTTTGCTTCTCGGAATAATTCAGAATACTTATCCATGTTGATGTGTTTTAGCCATTTGTCCACCGACTGGAATCCTGGGGTATGGCTTGCTTTAGTACTAGAATAATGTATGAATAAATTAATAGCGACTTTTTAGGGGAGCGTAAAAAACCTGGGATTAAAGAGAACTTGACTTTCCCATTTTTCTGAGCTTTCTCAAGCAATTTCATTTTTTGTTAAGTTGGGTATTTTGATCTGATTTTCGTGTGCTTTTGGTGTGGAATGTCATCAGCTTGCGCGTCCATCGCATTTTTCAGCCCCTTTTTCAACGCCCTCTATGTCCGCCACTTAAATCAGTCAAATTACCTTGGATGCTTTCAAATGCACCTCGTCAACTACTTTGTAGTTCTCTTAACACAAATCAAGAGAGGAAAATTTGGACGATATTCGTAGTTCGAATTTGATGAGGGTTGATGGAGAAAAGTTGCACACGTGGTTTCGTAGGTGACGCCATAACAGAGAAGACAAAACAATCACGCAAATTAGAGGAAGTGAGCTTTGTCACCGATCCTTGATCACCTTTCTTTGACGCAAATAACTCATTCTGTTATAACACGATGGAAACTTACCTCTCTGGAAAAGAGGATGAATCACCATTTAGAAATTCCGGGAATCGAATAAGTTCAACCAGACGATTGACAATGTCAGAAAAACTGGGCCGTTGTGTTTTGTCTTTATGCCAGCATTCGATCATTAAATTATGGACGATTTTCGGACATCTCTGTACAAACAGATAAATTATTTTAGGATTAGTTCTTAGTGTAAAGGATCTTAACTGTTTGAAATATTTCAAAACCCACGAAAAGGGTTTCACCTGAAAATTTGATATTATTGTGTTGTCAATTACCTTCGGAACTGGTTAATATGGGAAGGGGGAAGGCGGAGGATTTTTTTTAGGGGGGGACGGATGATTTTCAGGAATGCGGATGGAGGATCAGTCGTCTCTAACAGAGTTAAAGGGCGGGGGGGGAATAAATAGAAATGGCTTCAACGTGAGGCTTCATCAGAGTACTACAGAGCCTTTTGGGGAGATCAGGTAAATATTATTTTAATACAACTGAAATCCTTCGACCCTGAACCAGTCCCTGCAAAGCATAGCTGGAGTGTTACATGTTAGCGTTAAAATAATTCCTTCCCATCTTCTCTCGATTTCTTTATTTTTAAGTCCTTATAACTGAGTGCTGCTACTATTTTTATTGT